AGACACAAGCATTCAGATTGCACAACTGCTGTGGTTGCAGACCAGCCTCCCAAGCGTTTCGGATGGAGAGGACTTGCCAGCACTCACACCAACACACCTTTCACATTGGATGCTCGCATCCACAAATGATGTCATCATGACAGATATCCAAAAATTTTGGGAAGAAGAGAATTACCAACATTTACGCCAAAACACCTTTCAAAATCACGACAATTACACATACCCTGTCTCATCATTTCAATCTAGGATAACAGGAGCCAACACAGGATTCCTGAACGTCAGCCCCATCAGACTCCATAGAGAATCTATTAGAGTATCATTCACGAAAACAACCTCCTTGACTGTCACAAAGCACGGCACGCCACTGCCTGCAATCGTGCTGGCTGCCAAAAGCGCCGCTGCCTCTCCACAGATGTGGCACCATAAGCACAGTTCTGTGGCATGGCCACTGCACGTTTTGCAGCATGGCCAGTCATAATTGCGCCATGGCGCCATGGTCGAATGAAAGAAGTGTTAAAGTGATGTTGCCTCTCCACAGCCGCGCACACCAAAGCGCAGATCTATGGCATGGTCATTGAACGCTTTACATCAGTTGTCATTGTAGCTGGGCGTCACGGTCAGCTGAAAGAAGTCCGAAGCGCCCCTGCCTCTCCACAGATGTGCACACCACAGGCACAGTTCTGTGGCATGGCCATTGCGCATTTGAAGCATGTCCAGCCGCCATTGCAGCATCATGTCACGACCAGCTGAAAGAAGTCCGTTCAAGTCATCTTTGTTCCTTGCCAATCTACTGGACACAGTGGCAGTATCTGAACAGAGCCTATTGAAAAATGATACCCTTTCCAGCGCATAATTTGCACGAAAACGCCCAATTTCGTTTGATCACGCTGCACTGAGATACTGCACCCCATTGAGATTTAGAATTGTTGACCCACCAGGCATGAGAAAGGAAACATGTGTTGGCCACCAGCCTGTGATTTATCTCATTCGTTTTGCTCGACGCTCATCGTCAAGAAATAAGTCTGACCCCCCCCCAAAGAAGCACACTCTCCACCCTGCTCGATACCCTATAATCGCAATGAAAGAACTTCGACACCCGCAAAAACAAACTCTCTACCTCTCACTGACTGCTGTGCAATTGAGATGGTCAGCCATGCCAAAATGCGACCACGTCACCCAGAAATCCCATCCCCATATCCCATTTATTCACCCTTGAGTGCACGTCCGCTCCTGAGGCTCATGACTGCCAGCAGGCTGCAGATGTGCAGCAACGACACGACTGAACTAAACCTCAAAGCTCTCCACAAACTCTGCATCACTGCCCTCCAGTGAAGGTGTCCCATACAAACATCCAGAAGTCCAAAAAAGATAATAAAGAATAGGCAATTGCGATACACAGGTCAGCAGATGCACACGTCCGTGCGGACTGCTTCCTCGAAGTCCGAGTCCCACAGACCTTTATTGCAATCTCCTGCACACGCAATCTCTGCCGGAATTATTCCGCCTTCCCCGGTTCCTGATTTGCCGTCTTGAGGTCTTGAAATGATGAATGAGGAATCCAAAAATGCTGTTCGACGCGCCGACGTCCAACCAACGGCATTGACCACTGGAACGGAGCTCCGCACATCGCGCTCTGCTTCCGCAATTCGCTGCGCAGGGAATACATCCGACAGCGGAAAGCCTCGCAGCGCATTCGACCCAACGACAAGGCAACCACTGGCATGCCGAAGGCCCCCAGCGGTCTCCCTACCGCCTCATTCACTTCGCGATTCCACGAGTGGGTGAGCACACGAGCATCCATGGCGCTCGCTTCGAGATTCCATGAGCAGCGAACCGGCAAGCATCACTGGCGCTTAGTCGCCACAAAGCAAGACTGGTGCTGGCCCCAGCGCTGCAAACATTCTGTGCGCTCAACGTCGCCGACACGTGGGCGGTCACCTGCAAAAAGGATCCTTTTGTGGGCCACATTTTGGGCCGGCTGGAAACCCCACGCTGACTCGGGGGTGCCCAAATGGCGGATTGGGTCTTAGTACTTTGGTCTAGTACTCAAGGGGCTTCCAGAACCCCAGCCTCTGGACCCGCCTTTGTAACGTCTGTCCGGACCCGCTACTCCTGCGGCTGATTGTTGTAACGCAGGTCGATGACCGTGACGGTGATGTTGTCCCGGGAGCCCCTGTCCATGGCCGCCTTCATGAGCACTCTGGCCGCCACCCGGGCGGCCGTCTCTGTGGGGCCGTCCTGCTTGCTGGCGCGCTCGAAGCACCTGCTGGCCAGGCTGCACGCCTCCTCGTCGGACACGACGTCCCACAGGCCGTCGGTGGCCAGCACCAGGAACTCGTCCCCAGGGCTGCGGCCGACGATGGTGATCTGCATCAACATCGTCGAAAGACATAAACAAAAAGAAACGAAAACGAAAACACACAAAAAAACGCATGAAAAGGCACAAGCCAAAAGAATATAAACAGAAAACGAAAAACTAAAACTAAACAAGGAAACAAAACATGAAGAGAAATTTTACAGCAGAGCAAGGATGGTGATGCGCACAGGCGTGCGTGCGCCATCGCCACGGCATCACCATAAGGTCCTCACAACATCCTTATGACGCCATCGCCACATAACTATCGGGTCATGTGCGCGTGTCACCATCACGTCATCACCAGTTGCTACGGGAGAAAGTTGGGGCCCAAAGTCAGCAAAGTGGGTGAACACGTTAGGCAATGGTTTTATCGTGGAATGAACAGAAAACAACAAACAGTAAGTGCATGAAAACGTAGCAAATGGAGCTACAAATAAATTGGATTGCATACAATTTTTCAGAAAGCGCGACTTGGTCCACTCTTTTTGCAGCTTTCGCATAGCAGTAATGGCAATTGTCCACCAACTTCGCATAATACAATTACATAGTTAAAACTCACGACCGCAAATGATTGTATGCAATATTATGCCACATGGCGTCACATAAGATGACTCAATGCTGTATCTATGAATAGCAAATATTGTATTAATCATGTACGATTAACCACTTCGTTAATTGGTACAAGACTTTCAGCAGTTCGAACCGAACGCTGAATAAGATTTTGAGAACAGCAGATTTTCGCTAGAATCCACACATGCATCAGGGACGGGACTCGCCAGCTGCATGGACTTTCGACACACTGCTGGCTCGGCGACTACCCAAGCCGTAAATTCTTCGATTTGCGGATGGATGCTCTCATCAAGGGGCTTGTGGATGCACCGATATGTGCACACACAATCTCTTGGACAACGCCAAGCGGCGATTGCAGAAATTCCGCGCCCAGCACAACGGCACATTTTGCGTTACCAGAAATGACACCACGCTTCGCCCATCTTTTAAAACCAGCGAAGCAATAAACGGCCCTCTGAGACTAAGAAGAAAAAAACACCAAAACCGCTCCAAATTTCTAATGGTAATCCACGACGCCACATGTCTGACCAGAAATGGCACCACGCTTCGCCCGTCTTTTAAAACCAGCGAAGCAGAAAACGACGCCCTGAGAATAAGAAAAAAAAGCACCAATACCACTCCAAATTTCTAACGGTAAATCCACGGCGCCACATGTCTGACCCGAATATCAACATCTGTAAGACGGTCCTTGGGTTGCTTCCCCGCACCCTATTCAGGCCGCAATCGCTGGACTGGTGGGCGCGCTGTGCAACGCCTTGTTGGTTGGCCGGCGGTGCAGCTAAGGCCTTGCAAAACTGTTGCTGAAGGGATGTGGATGCGACTGCCACAGTTTGTGGCTTTCCCAAAGCCCCGTTCCCTGGCGCACGAACTTGTGAACCTCAAGTAGCTGTGGATTTCTTGTGTAGCCGACATACTAATGCGCATAAAAATAATGCAGGTCCACAGCCTTGAAAAATGGGGCCTCGATGAGCCAAGAACATGGCTTCCCCCCGCAGGGTGGCGAGGATGCCGACTTGCCCCATCACCCTCATTCCAACACAAGTAAGGGCGATGGCGCCCTTGCGTCATTTCCCATGCCACTGCAGATTGCATTTACGTGCAATGCACAAAGACAGTGTGCTCACCACGCCTTGGCCCTCCTATACTGTGCCCCAGGGCACCCATGGCTGGCTGATCCATCCAGCGCCGGCGTTTCAAGGCACCTTCAGAGCGATGAAATGAGCGCCCTCAGGCCGCTCCCCAAGGCGGCCTGGCATGTGTGTTGGCTCCTAAGGCCCCTCCTGAGACAATGCGGAACTTAAAAGACTGGGAGACGCCGATCCAGCACGGTGCTGAGGAGGTACCCAAGAACGGCGACGCAAGCATTTCGAGATTTGGAGACGTTGAAATGCAAGATGCCGGCCAGCCGCGTTTTCGCTGGCGCTTCTTAGGGAAGGCGCTATGTCGTTTTGGTCACGCTTAGTATCAATTTGACGTTAAGCCCAGAATCCCCCCCTCCCCCTTTCCCTTCCTCACATACACTTGCCTAGGAGGGGGTGCCCTTTGTATGATCTGTTTCTCGTTCTCTTTTGTAACAAATCTTACCCCCCCTTCCCTTAGCGTCAATGCTTATGCAGATGCCAGGATGACCCAGCAACCTTACGTAACAGAGCTAGGCAATTTCAAGGTGTTTTAAGGGAACATAAACTGACAAAATTGTAGCGATTGTAATGCGCTGAAAAACGTGATGATAAATGCCATTTCAGGTGATTGAGGCAGCCCCGACGGCTGTCTATTTGGTGCATTTTGGGGTCTTCATTTAAGTTTGAACGCAGGGGTGGGTGGGGTGAGGGGGTGGGGGTTGGGGGGCAGTGCTAAAATAAGTCACGAGCCGTCTGCCTTGGATCAACGGCGTTTTGTATATCTTCAGACCTTATGTCGAAATTGTGTCAATTATGTAATCTCCTTAGCGTCACAGGTCCAGCCCCCCCAGGCCCCTCCCCAACCTCCCGGCGTCAATTGGCGCCGAGCGAACCACATTCGACATAGTGCATTCCATTAACTACACAGTGAAACAGCAGTTGATGTGTTTGATTGTGTATCGGCTCTGTCTGGATATATTTATTTAAATCATATGTGTATCGTACGCATATATATGTTATAAGATACACCTGCACTGGAAAGCTTGGCGCACAAACCAACAGTCTCGGAATCGGTGGTCTCACCTCTGGATCTGGCACAACGCCCGCAGACCTCAAGCAGTGGTCGCCGAGCGCCCGGGACATGGCCAGCATCCCCATCACCCTTGGGCCATTGAGATCCACCACCATGCCACCTTTGCGAACTATGCGCTCCTGGAACAACGGCAAACGAGTCACTTGACTGCGAACAAGCCATTCACATTCGATGATCGAAAAGATCAAAACAATGGCCCGAAGGCTTTGCTATGGATTGAACGTCGCAGTTCACTGCGCGCTGTGAATAGAATCCTGGCCATCATCGCCTGCAAGGTGCAAGGGCCGCGCTTTTTGTTACCTCTGTTCATTTGTCATTTGGGTAATGCATTTGTCATTTGGACTACGCATTTGGCATTTGGACAATGCATTTTGCAATTGGGACAATGCATTTGTCATTGGGACAATGCATTTGTCATTTGGACAATGCATTTTGTCATTTGGACTACGCATTTGTCATTTGGACAATGCAGTTCAAGGAGTTCAACTATTCTGGAGGCTGGCAGGGAACCTGCTGGCATTGTCACATTCACGTGAAGTTCTCGCCCATTCATTGCACATATAAGAACACAGCAAATCACGGCGTTTCCTCGCAATCAAACCAGTTGATCGAACATCAACCATTCACCACAGTGCATGAAATGCTGACGAACTAGTCGATGAGCGGGTGATCCATCAGAACAGAGTGTGGTTGACACAGTATCGTTTTGTTGAAACTGGAGACAGTTTTGGCAGTTTGGCTCCTTTTTCAAGGCAGAGTGTTCACGACAGGACAACGATGTCAGCAGCGCAGACCACAAAACCACTTGGACGACTGGATACCAATATTGCCATTGCCATTTCGGTATTGTGTTGTAAGTTGGCAGCGGCCAGGCCTTGGTGTGCAGCACTCGATCATCGCCTGATACACCGCCGCCAGTCTCTCCACCCAACCAAGAAGTTCTTGGCTGGGTGGAGAAGCTGACGTTGTTGCAATGTTTCAAACATAGAATATCAAGCCGAGGAGCCATCCACCAGCCGGCAAGGCACGCTCCATTTGATGCGTCCACATGGAGCTGGCGGGCTGCCTCCTCGCCTCGACTGGCCACGTCTCCCCAACCGAATGAATGACCGCAGCAATCTCCCGCGCTTTTCTCCCGGAACAAGTCATGCCCTGCTCCGGCGTGACAGGGAGCCCGCGGCCGCCTCCTCGCCTCCATGTCCAACTGCAAACCGCTTTCGGTCGGGAGATGCTCCAAAACTTCCCAGATGCATAAACGAATAGATGACGTGATTGACTGATAAACGGACTGATTCACTCCATCCCCGCGGCCCCTCACCCGCTCGTCATCCATGTCCGGCTTGTGGTCCCGCGTCATCCTGTAGGCCGCCCGCGACCTGCACAGCACCGCCCGCGAGTCCCCGCAGTTGGCCAGGCACACGTGCCAGCGGCTCACCAGCGCCACCACCGCCGTGCTCCCCACGCTCTGCGCCTCCCCCAGCGCCTCGTCCAGGCTCCTGTCCATCATGTGAAACGCCGCCTGCACGGCTTGCGCCACGGCTTCCAGCCCCAGCCCCGGGTGGCCCCCGCCCCACCCCCCGCCCCCGGATCCTGACTCTTCCTCTCTGGCAAGAGCCCGGGCGAATTGCAATCGCAGGCACTGGTGCAGCTTTCCGGCGAGCTCCCTGGAGACCTCCGCCCCGCCGTGGCCGTCGTAGACGCCCGCGAACAGGAACCTCGCCTCCACGCGCCTCGGCACCGTGTCGGCCGAGCGGCCCGGCCTGGCCGCATCCCACAGCCCGGACAGCCCGCCCTCGACCGCCGGGGGCACCACGCTCTCGCCGGGGCGGAAAAGGAGCGGCGCTTCGAGAAGGTTCTCCACCACCGTTCCGGCGTCCTCCATCCCCGGCCGCAGGCCCTGGGTGGCCACGGAGCCGACGGGCGGGGCGGCCATCAGCCACAGGCGGCACTGGCCGGGGGGGATCGCCATGCTGTCGTCTGCTACGGGTATGTCCACCGACCCGCTGGCCGGGGCGGCGGCGTAGTCGCCGGTGGACGCTGATTCCGAAGAGCGAGAGGCGACGGCGAAGGCCTCCATCGGCAGGCCGCATCCCTCGGAGCCCATGTTAATGTGCGGCTCCTTGCCTTGTCCTGCACCCGCGAGAGAAAGTCGAATGACGATTCCGCAAAGAAGGGTTTTGACAGCCCGGGCTGGATAGCCGACCGCGGCGTATTGCGCCATCCGACCCGGCCTGGCTTTCGGCGGCCTTTCCCGATCGACGGGGGATCAGTCCGTGCGGCCCAGGCGCATCGAGCCGATCGCTCCTGGCCCAAAGACCACTGGGAGAAGATTCGCCCGACTCGGAAGGATGCCGTGGCGAAGCCAGCATGGCGGGGGCGCCCTAACCGACCAAAACGAAACTGAAAACCGACCCGCACCTGCTGCGCTCTGTTCGGGGTATGCCGCCGCGGCTCGCCTCGCATGGAATGCAAGAGCGCCGGCTAGCGTTCGTAGCCCGGCGCCGCCCCTCCGGCGCCGTGGGGTCCCCGCACCGAGGCCCGCGGAGATGCCGCGGATCGGATACAGCGCACTGAGGCGGCCACGCGCGGGCAAACGTGCGCGCTGTTGGGTCGTTACCGCCCCGACGCTCGCTGGCGCCTATATATGAGCGGCGGCGCTCTCACACTGCCGGCTGCGGTCACTACTGCCCGCTGGCGGGTCGCCTATGCACCTGCTTGTCTTCACCATGAGCCTCCACGGCACCTGCACCCGCGGCACGATGGCGTGATCATGGCCTGCCCCTGACTAACACTCCGTTGGTTGCGGTTGGGCACCTTGACTGCGGGCCGCGGGGCCCGTCACACGGGGGGCGGGCCCCCTGTACGGAAAACGCCAAGTTCAAGGTGGGGTTCCTGTACTTTGGCACGCAGTGCGTACTTTGGCGCGAAGTGTCTGTGCGCCAGGGGGGGCGGCCGCCCACGGCCTGTGTGACCAGGGGCCCCTCGTCGAGGGGCCGCGGGAGGGGGCGCGACCGTACGATGCGTCGGTGGAAGGTGCGGCAGGCGTCACTTTTGGAGGGGGATACCGTCATCGATACCTGTCACACCGACTTTGCCCACCTGGGCGAGCTCGCCTCACCTGGGCGCCTCACTCCCTTGAGTGAGTGTGGCGGTCACAGTGCGTTATTCTCACGCCCTTGAGGACACACGAATAGGAAGCCATTATTGGCTTGAAAGGCTCGTGGCTGTGAAACGCCGATGGAAGGTCCGGAGTTGACATCAGCATGAGACGCTGTTCCAGCTCCTGTGAATGTTGGCGCGTCGCTTCACGATGGAGCAGTGTGCTGCACACTGATCCGCCGTGTTGAATCCGAGTGCAGACATTGCTTTGAGTTCTTGTGCATCTCTCTTGTGTTGGCCGAACTGGCTGAGCTTGACATCCATCAATGTTCGCTGATGTCCATTGATGACTCTATATTCCAGGAATATCCCGGAGATCTAGACATTCTGTACCTATTTCTGCATGCAGCAATCACCAGGGGCACTTTGACACTTGCTTCAACTATGAACTGCCTGATCATCGCTCATCGCCGCCAAAGTTTGTGTTTATCTTCAAGAAAATAGTGCCTGGCGGTAATCATCCATTGGTCACATGTTAATGTCAGCCCTTCATTGATTTGCAGCCCGGCACCGAGCGCATCCGGACAGCCAGGATGCACGCGTCGCCTTTCCACAAGCTGATTCCCGCTAGCGAAAATTCGACCATTTTGCACGTTGCACAATCGTGTGAAACTCGGGTACTTTGGAACATGACCGTACACGATTGCTAAAATCGTGTAGTTTTCAGCCCTGTGTAGTACACACAAGTGGCCCACCATACCGCCATCGCCAAGACGACAAAGAACACGATTTTACATGATTTGAGCCGTGTACCAGCGGCAGCCGTGTATTTTATGATCAGTGCACGACGGGTACACGATTTCCACACGAGTTTTGCACGCACAACACGGTGCACGATTTTCAGGACCTTGTACTTTGGCCGGTTTTTTTCCTAGTGTCCCTGCATTCCACAAGTCCCCATCATGCTGGGCTGTCGACGCTTGTCGTCAGGGACCAAAACGATTTCAGAATTTGAAGCGCAAACTGGAATGCTTACCTATCCAGGCTCTTTGCTAGGGGTCGATGGGGTCTTAAATTTAAAGGATAACATGCGATGTTGATGGCACGTTGACAGCGATTCCACTCAACGCCCAAACAGCGACATTTATTGTCGGCGCAATAGTGGTGAGACAGTATGCGTTGTACCACGATTTTCTTGACAAAATAAGCAAAAGGGGAGTGTCAGTTGGCGCCCTTGTGGTTCCCGCGCGGCGGGGCCGTCCCAGCCCGCCCTCCGGCGGCCCAGGGGTCCCTGGCACCCCGTGCCAGCGCATTGAACACAGCAAAGTTCAATATCGAAAACTTAATATTCTTTTGCCTTCCAATGTCTCTTGTTCCTCTTTCCTCTCTGTGCAATCCGCTCCTTTAGTGCTTGCTCGTTGTTCTGTAGCTCATCGTTCAAAGTGCTCCACGCTTTTTGTGTGACTTCAAGCTTGGAGTCACACAACCCCTTTATGGAAATATCCCCTGGAAGTCGCATCGATGTGGTGGACTGCTTATACTACACATGCTCGTTTTCCTTCTCCGCTGGTCTAGCTGCAACTCGTTATTATTATTCGTTCTGTCCATAGCGTTGCGGCATTATGCATTTGCCAACATGTGGTTATGGCATCGTGCACTGCACGGCATTCCTCGTGTGCAGTTGTGGTTGACATGTTAATGACAGCGATTTCACTCCCGCCAAGTCCCAAAAGCGAAGCATCAAGATCGGGTGGTCGTCAATGACATCCTGGTCTTTGAATGGCGTCTCCACACTCGCCCCTGGCAGGCGACTTGCTGTGCCGCATTGATAATGATTCCGTATTTTGCGTACTTTAAATTGTGAGTGGACTTGGCGTCACGCACTGCAGCCTTTGGTGCCATTACCACTGTCAACAAAGGTAGTTGTTTGAATGCGAAGGGTTAGTTGTTGTGTATAGCATTGCTCGATAGTCCCAAGATACCGTATACCAAAAAAAGTTCGCGGGAGAAAAATTTTCGCGCATTTCGCGGTCGAGCTAGTCCGTGAAAATATTTATCCGCGAACTATTGGTCACGCGAACTTTTTTCGCCCGCAAACTTTTTGGCACTCCTCAATGGTGGGTCGGGCGCTGGGCGTGCGGTCTACTAGCGGGCGTCGATTCCCACCACCCGCGGAGGCCGTTCCAGGCTACGGCGGGCGGGGGGAATGGGCGGTCGGGAGGCGCGAATGCTGCGGCGCATGTCGCCTCTCGTGGGCACCCCTTCCCACCATCGGCGGGTGCCATTTCCGGAGACCGCGGGTGACAGGAATGGGCGCCTGCGAGGCGCCAATCCTGCTGCGCCTCTTGCCCTTCGCGGGCGCCCATTCGCGTCGCCTGCGGAGGCCGTTCCAGGCCACCGCGGAGGGCGCGAATGGGCAGCTTCCAGGCGCGCATGAGGGCGCGCCTGTCGCGCCTATTGGGCGGCTATTCGCGCCACCGGCGGGGGCGATTTCAAGGCAGCGCGGGCGGCGTGATGGCGCGCCGGGGAGGCGCCTGTCTTGCGGCGCATCTCCCTAATCGCTGGCGCCCACCCGGGCCACCGGCAGGGCCCATCCTAGGCCACCGCGGGCGGCGCGAATGGGCGGGCGTGAGGCGCCAATCCGGGCGCCCCTCCGGGGCCTCGTGGGTGGCCACTCAGGCAGGCCCTGCTGGTCGCCCAGGACGCCAAAGGACCCTCAATTTGTTGGGCCTCGGAGCGGGCTACAGACAAAGCGGGCACCCGCTGGTACCCCACCCGCAAAGGTCGCGCAGCGAAAATGTTCGCGCAGCAGAAATTTCCGCGGGGAATACGGTTTGCGGGAGAAAAATTTTCGCGCACCGACGAGTGCGTGGAAATATTTCTCCACGAACTTTTTTTCCCGCAAAATACGCGAAATTTTTTCTCCGCGAAAATTTTTCGGTATACAGTATGCTCGATTATCATCATCTGTCGTCTGTCGTCGTCTTACCCAAGGTCGATCGTTGGCGATGGCACGTGCCTTCCACACGGCGCCTGCATCCCGACGGGGCAAAGGAACAACCATGGGGGCGCAGATCGCGGCAAGTCTTTCAAGCGGCGAAAGTTCGTCCATAGGCAGATCCACCGCCTCTGCCTGCCAGTGAATATCAACAGTAATACATACAAACCAGGTCTCCGGCCGGCTGTGGCCCCTCCAGAAACTTTTGGGCTCCCCAACTTTAGTGTTCACAGACTCAAGTATGTGAACACGGTGCGTGGTTCAACATGTTCACCTAACACACTGTGCTGGTGCCTTGCCGTACATCCACGCCACAACCAATCATCACTATCAGGTTGATCGAACACTCCCTCGTGCGCTCGCGCACGGTCATTCCCAGGCACGAGAAGTGAGGCTGCAACCAGATGCGTTACAAGACAAGCACATCAACCAAATAGTGTTGGCAGGAAGCATACACAGTTAGTAATCACCGTTCCCATGTTCGCCGTGCTTTTATCACCATATTCGCTATGACAAATCACACCATATTCAGCACCATTTTCCTTATAATTATCCGCCATATATTTCTCGCCCTTGCAATCAACATTAGGAAAAAAGGGCCAAATAATGCCTGTTCAAATGTGCACAAAGTTCAATGGTTTGGATTATTTTTGTGTTCTTAGTGTGCAGAACTTTGGTACTGTGGTGGCTCGTGGTATGGTGAAATGCCTGAATGCCATTGCAACAGGAGGACAATATTACCGTCAGCTGGTACATTCATCCTGTAACGCATCTGGTTATGGCTTTGCTTCCCGTGCCTGGGAGCAGCCGAGTGCAGACGTCTGCACTCTCGGTCGACCGAGCGTGAACGGTTAACGCGACAATCACAACTAATCACCTTCTGCACATTGGAATCATATCACAACATGATGAAATGCTGCGCAGCGAGTTCACAAGACACACATTCCAGGAATGCGTGTGGTTGGGGCGCAGAGCGGACGTTGGCTGAGTGCAACACAATAGCGGCTGCACCCCATTGGGAGCGAGGAATTCAGCCTGAGGTCCTGCCATCCATTTTTTGAAGGGACAGACGAAGGAAGACGAAGGAAGAGAAAACAACGAAGCCACCAATATCGCGTAGCTCTCTGTTGGCTGACGCGCTGACGAGCTCCATACAATGCCCCCACGGTAAACTATGAGCCAGTACATTAGCGCAGTACTTCACAGGAGCGGGAATCAGCCGGCACCCGCCCCCACAGAAGCGGGAATCCCCGATTTCCCCCCCTGTGTCACGCGGCAGGAGGGCAGACTCGCAGATTCAGCCCCCCCTGTGCCCTCGCACAGGACCGGGACATGTGGCTCTGGGCGTCCGGGCTGATGAGAGTCAACCACAGCCAATTGTCCCACCCCCTCAGGGCCAGCGGCGGTTTCTACAGCCTGCCGCCGTCCAGCGGCCGGCTGGCTTTTGCAGTACTGCGACAAGCACCGCGCCCAGGCGAGGATGTGGGGACAGGGAAAAGTGCACGAAAGGTCACGCAGGACACGCAGCAGTGCGCGTGAAAGGCGCCAGACCCGACTCACGAGAGCCCCCTCGACTTGGGGGCACCCTAACATGCGCGGATTGGACGAGGAAACGGGGAGGTGGGCAGGCCTAAGCCCTCCCCACGAAGAAATGGACGAGGACTTGGACTAGGAAGACAATGCAAGTTCCGATTGGGATCTACCTCCTCTGTCGCAAAGCCAGCTTGAATTCGAAGCGAGCCACGGCAGGCTGCTTGTACATTACCTGACACGGCCACGCCGAGTGGCTCGCAACAGAGATTGTCAAAGCTGGGGCGAGGGCGAACAAATGGGCAAAGACGATCTCAAACCGCAGATGGCAACAAGAGACTCACGCGACGTTTCCAGCTCACCCGCTTGTCACACGGGCAAAAGCCGGGCGCTGAGATCAGACCACGCCGACGTGAATTGGCAATCGGTGTTGAGATCATTCTGCACAGCCGCCCCAACATGAAAATCCGTACGGGGAGGCTGTGCTCGTCAGCGCCCTACGCGCCCTGCCCTCCGATGCCCGTCTTCCATCGGTCTCCCTCCCGTTGGCCAGCCGCTGAATTTCTAGGCTACCCACGGTCAGCCCCCGTCCATCGATGGCCAAGACGATGAGCAGCAGACCTCAAGGTGTCGGGCGCGTTCCGCACCACGGGCACGCGAGCGCGGCAGGGACGCTGGGCACAGCGCCGCGTTCCGCAGCACTGCCTGGCCGCCTGAACGCACCGCGCGCTGCGCCGAGAACGTATTACTCCCCGTTCTTGTTTGCTGAATTTCGGTTCTTGTTCCGCTGACAAGGCCAGTCCCGGTGCGTGGATCAGTAGTTGGGGTTTAGGGTGTCCGAAATCAAGAACCGAAAATCAGCAAACAAGAACGGGGAGTAATTTTGTGCCCGCTGCGCCCTGGCAGTGCCGCCCACGTGGCCTGCCGTCCTGGCGGGCTGTGGCTTCAACGGTGGGCCTATGACCGTCGGGGACCGGCCCCACTTTCCACGCGGGGACAGCCCGGTGGCCAACGAGTGAGAGTGGGGACACGCGTGGGACTGCAGGGGCGATGACAGGCGGACACGCAGCCCCCAGGCGGCATCTAGTACCACGCGGCCAGATCATCCCCCGTGCAGTCTAATGCGCGTCCCCACTCTTGCTCGCTGGGAACCTCGTGCGTTCCTAATCACCCGGCTTTCAGACCCTGCTCTGGCGAAGTTCTCAGGCCGTGACTAGCGATCTCTGCCGCCTGTTATAGAAGGGCAGTTGGCGAGAGGAGTTGGCGGAGTCGAGGGGTTGGCGAGGCGCGGGCGAGTCGGGGAGGCGGCCGAGGCGTTCGCGCGGGCGGGAGGGTCGACTTGGGTCCCGGAATCGGGGCCGGTCGGGTCGGAGTTTCCGCCTCGGATGGGCGCCGGCGCGGCGGATGCCGCGTTGCCGCCGGAAGGAGGGGGTGAGTTGTCGGGCCAGGGCTTTGAGGACGAGCGCTCCGGAGGCCGGCCGGCGCCGGTGGGCGGCAAGGGTGAGCGGGCGAAGGGGCAGTGCGGCCGCGCGCTCCCCATGGCCGCGGATCTTTCACTGCACAGCTGGCACCAGTTTCTGGGGGATTCAGTGGCCCGGGGGGTGGGGGGAGGGAAGATGAGCCTGTGGGCGGAGTGACCGAGGCTGGGGGGGAAGGGCGTTTGGGGTGGGGTGTTGGTGGCCCCGTCGTGGGCGCGATTCGCGGACGGAGAGAGCGCCCGCGTTTTGTCGCGACACGGGATGAAGCCATGGGTGCCTAATTCGCTATCATCTTCGCGCGGGCGGCGGGCGCGTGGGCGGGGCCGCCAGGCGTGGCCGGGTGGCGATGGGCGCGAGCCGCGAGGCGCGGGCCGGCGCCGTCGCGCCGCGCGGCGGGGGCTCCCAACCGTTTCGCGATTCCGGCTCGGTTGATTGCAGTTGGGCCGGGTGGATCTACCCTCCGTTTCGCAACTCCTCCTGAGAAACGTCCCCGTGGACGGCGGGAATCGTGTGTGTGGGTCGTGGCGTAGACTGGAGCGCAAGGAAGGGAAGGGGGTGGGGGGTGGGAGGGGGGGGGAGGCCGCCGCCGGTAGGGTTGTCGGGATGGGTGCATCATCCGATAGAGCTAATGGCCGTGTGCTCCAAGTGTTCTCTCGCCTCTGCAACAGGCGCGATCGAAGCGGGGGGCCCGGGAGGCGCGAGCGCCGGGGGAGGGGCGCCGATGAGCGCCGAGGCGGGGACACAGTCCGCCCCACCAGATCCGAGCTTGTTGGACAATTCGAGCAATCGAGGCAAGTCGATGGACGGCAAAGATTCGGCCGGGCAACGGCAGGCCGGGGCCGAAGTGCCGATGATGGCGGTGGCGGCGGTGCGCCCCGAGCTGCCCGTGGGGTCCAAGAACACCCAGGGGAGGCGGGCGACGATGGAGGACGCCTGCGCCGTCGTGGACAACCTGCTGGAGGCGCCGCTGTGCTTCCGGCCCTCCGACCGCGTCGTGCCGCCGGCGGTGGCGCGAATGCTGGCGCCCCTCTGGGCCCAACCGCCCACCGCGACCGGGGAAGTAAAGGCATCATCCGATCTCGACGGGGATTCCGAAAAGGGACCCGATGACGGTGCCGAGAGGTGCATACGGCGCGACACGTGGTTCCACTTCGTGGGCGTGTACGACGGGCACGGCGGGCAGGCCGTGGCGAGCGACGCAGCGGAGCACCTCCACGTCTTCTTCAAAAAGGCCTTCCAGGATGCTGTGCTGGCCTCCGCCGACGACGGCAAGCCATGCGACCCACCCCGCCTGTCCTCGCCCACACCCAGGACGCGCCTTTCGTGCGATCCCCTGCCCGACGAGGAGCGCCTGAACGCCGTCATCGCTCCAAACATCGATCACGGGTGGCTGACCGACGAGGGGGGTTGGGAGCCCGCGGTGCGCGTGTCCTCGGGATCGCTGGCGTGGTCCAAGGGGTCCAGCGAGTCCATGGGGTGCCACCCGGGACTGGGGCTGGAGGGGGTGGCCGGCGCGGTGAAGGCGGCGTTCGGGATGATGGACCAGCGGCTGGAGGCGGCGCAGTGCGCGGAGGCCGTGGGGTCCACGGCGGTGGTGGCGCTGGTTAGCAGGTGGGGCTATTTCGTCTTGCTATTTGTTGTCTGCTATTTCAACCTTAACCTCAATCCTTAATCCTATACTTGATCCTAATCCTAATCCTAATCCCAATCTAACTAAGCTTAGTTCGGTTTGTTATACAACCCTTAATTTTAGAACATGTCTTAGTTCATTAATTTCCTTCTATTAATTTGTCCTGAAATAATTGTCCTCTATGACTTTGGACAAATTTTATTGGGAAACGAAGCCTTTATGATGGAGGAGGAGGGCGCCTAAGTTGTGTGCTTGTGAGTTTGGAGTTTGAGGTCAAAAAATCGAGTTATTCCGTTAAATACTGTAGGGCTCCCTATATAGCGTCCCCATCCCCCAATGGCATCTCCTTATTTGGCTTGTCACCATTTTTGTAGTATTTTAAGCAGCTTTGTTGCTGTGGTTAGCCACACCTGTTTAGCAACCTGTCTAGGTTTAGCGACTCCTGAACGGCTTGTCACCGTTCCCGCACTGCTTTGTATCACTGCGACAGGCTGCAGCGCCCACGACTTTGGCGCGGCGACCAAGCCGCTGGCACCAAAAGCCAGAATGGGCCCAGCAGGCCGGGTGTAGCGTACCCCCTTTCACTGGCGGCTAGGGTACCCGCTATACCAGCAGCCAGGGTACCCCCTACATAGATGGCCTACATAGGTACCTCCTGCACCAGCGTTATTTTCACTGCAACAATGTTACTCGTGTTACTACATCAGGTGCTTGTCCCGAATGAAGGAGAAATATCAGTCAAGGGGGGCCTGTGACAAGTTGACTAATGCCGATCGCCAGGTTGCAATGGTTGCGCTGCATTCCGTTGTTTTGTGGTGAACGCCATCTCTTCTCAGTGGCGAGCTTGCCTTCAAGCCGAAACCCAGACTCCAGTCTCCAGACCATCTGTCGCTTATCATAACGTATCAACATGTTGATGTGCTGTGAACAGGTGGCACGTTTGTGTGGCCAACTGCGGCGACTCGAGGGCGGTGCTGTCGAGAAACGGGGCGGCCTACAGGATGACACGGGATCACAAGCCGGACCTCGAGGACGAACAGGTGGGTGGATTGCTCATGCGGTCATGAAGTAGTGAATGGGTCTGAAGGTAGTGGATGGTCCCAAAGCACAGGTTGGTCATAATAAGCCGTGGCAGGGCTGCAAACCACATTTGCAGGATGATTGAAGCTTCGTCATCCTGAAATCATTGGCGCTTTGCCCAGCAAGGCACTGGTGATTGCAGTCGTGAAGTTTTGGATGAGTCTTGAGTGCTGGATTAGGTTCTTGGAACTAATATTGTGACAACAAGGCCTTATGTGGGGCAGGGTTGAGTTCGACACACAGGCTGATCTGGAAGGCACCGTCAAGCATTGAAAGGTGGAAAAGTACTACCCTAGCATTGTGTTAATAAATGCACTACTAAAACATCACAGAGCCATGTGAGCAGAATGCACTTCTGCAGTGTCCTGGATGCTTGCAAAACAGCTGCAATGTACTGGATGTGTGATTATATGTGAGCAGCGGTTGGACCAGCCATAAACCTTGCAGTTCAATGCCATCCATCCCTTTGCACCAGTGAGGAAAGTTGCTGTGAGATTGCGGGCGATATTTGAGTCGCCAGATGGGCGTTAAAGTGATGTGGGAGCCATGAATGTCGTCTCAGAACACAGAACTGGGCGCGATGGCCTGCAGAATGCGCCAGGCTTCGTGTTGCGGCGTATGACAAGCACTGATGAGGAAAGTTGCTGTGAGATTGCGGGCGATATTTGAGTCGCCAGATGGGCGTTAAAGTGATGTGGGAGCCATGAATGTCGTCTCAGAACACAGAACTGGGCGCGATGGCCTGCAGAATGCGCCAGGCTTCGTGTTGCGGCGTATGACAAGCACTGATGAGCAACCAAGCCAGGAGTACACCAGAATAAATGACAGGGAAGCGTGCCAAAACCAAAGTACAGAAAGTAAATGAGAAGGTGAAGAATGAGAATCAAAAACACTGAGACAGGTGTCACAAACTAGGCAGTGGCAGAAGTATGAGGAATGAAGTACTGAGAGCTTGCTGTGTGCTGCAACAAAGTGCTGTGCTCCAACACCAGCGGAGCTGCCACATCTGCGGTCAACAGGTCGGGTGACTGGTGTTGGTCGTTTCTTTTCAGGAGCGAATTATTAGTTGTGGAGGGACGGTCCTCAACTACAACGGCAAGAGGGTGATGGGGCTGCTGGCCATGTCTCGTGCGCTTGGCGACCATGGTTTAAGGGATGCAGGTGTCATTTCGGAACCAGAGGTAAGATTCCTTTATTCCCTTGCTGTTTCTTGTATCTGTGCTTGTTTAGAGTGTGTATATGTGCAGCACTTTCCTGGAAAAGTTACCGATTTGTGGCTGTTTTTCAGCTTTATTCTAAGTTTAGGCTTAGTGCTTATGGGGCTTAGGATCGTTATGCACGAAGACAGAAAGGGCTGCGAATTTGCAACAGTGGGATGCTGAATCAAATGGGCATCAAATGTTCAAGAAAGGTTTGCACATACAACTTGGGAAAGGGCTGGCTGCAAAACCCAGAAAACGGGCTGCGGATACGCAACAGGCCGTGAGCGCACTCCAAGAGAAACGCAACGGTCCCATTTATGTTGTTCGCTCGTTGCCTTTTGCTCTCGTGTTATACATGTTCTTCATTTCACTCTTCCTTATCTGGAGTGCCCACACCTTTCGAGGGCGCTACATCATTCTTGTGTAACTTCTTTCCCATTTTGCACAACTCTTGCTCAACTTCACTGCATTCAAATTGCCTCTGGCCTGCTGCGTCCCGCCGCTTCTGACGCTTCTTCGCCCCTCAGGTCACGATCATCGCCCGAGACAAGGAGGACGAGTTCCTGGTGCTGGCCACGGATGGCCTGTGGGACACGATGTCGGACAAGGAGGTCTGCGACTTGGCGCGGAGGTGCTTCCAGCGGGCCAAGGAGAGGGGCGCAGAGCCGGAGATGGCCTCCAGAGTGGCGGCGGGCGTGCTCATGAAGACCGCGCTGGACAGGGGTTCCAAGGACAACATCACCGTCACAGTGGTGGATTTGCGGCCCAGCAGCCAGCCGTAGGGGGGCTGGCCACGTACGAGGGAGTGCGACAGAATTGAGTTAATGAATTAGTCGACGTGTTCGATGGGCAGGCGCGGGGCAAGACATGGAATGGCATGAAGAACTTATTATTTCGGAATCAATGAACTTAGCATCAACATCAACGGCCACGGCATTTTGATCGCAACATTGTATTTATCATTATTGCTTGTTTGACCTTTGCGTGTTGCAGTTCAATAAATGCGGATAGAGCATTGTAAAGAGCCCAAACATAACTTTTGGGGATATCGCATCATGTTTGTTTGCCATGTCGCTATATCAATGTGCGTTCTGACAACAATCTCTGTACAAGAGCTTGGTGATGCGAAGGACATTGCCAGGTGCTATGGGTAAGCTGCCAGAATTCTGCCAGATTATCGATCCCGAGATAATTTCAAAATTTTAGTATAATTGATTCCCGCCTGTATGTCCTTTATGAGTATGGCATTGCACATTCAGCGAAAGAACAGAAGTAATACAATCACCACATTCGAATGAATGACAGAAATATCAGAAGAGGCGGTCCAGACGTTCGCCGTTCTAGCGACTACTTCCCCAAGCGTGACGTCGCCATAACAAAAGGTTGAAAAAATACTGCTTTCAGAACTCTTATGTGCTCTTACAGGATGTGTATATGTGCAAATTCCCGTTTCTATGATATGCTATTTGCACACTGCCCCTGCGTACTCTTATTCAGTACTCTTTCACGTCTCTGTTGATGAGCAGTGCTTGAACGGCGTATTTATGGCGTCTGCACATGCTGTTACTCGACGGCGCATAATTAGCAAACGTGTTGCTGGGCTTTCTCCATCCGATTTGCTGAAATTATGCATATCTTATTGCCACAACTGCAGGCAGTTGAAGACAAAACAACTTTGTTGGGTATCAACATCACAAACAACATTCCCATGTATGATTTGCAGTCGTTGGTCCATTTGCCGCACCCCTTCTCCATAACTGGCATAATTCAACATGCTGGCTACCAAAAAATCTATGCAGCATGCCCGCCTGCACCTCTCCTAAAGTTGTCCCCCAGCATGCAGAGCTGAAGAATTAGGATCACTTCAGTTTTCCATGTTCACCATTTCCGTCATATCTCTGGCTGCACTGGCTTGCTTGCTAACAATGCTGAGCATGCTCATGGCAACCTCCCAAGTTTGCGCTCCCTGTTGTACCTTCACTATGACTTTGGTCGCTGCATTGAACCGTGGGGTTGTCCACGCCTTCACTGGCTGCCAAGCTGCCATCTTGCCGCAGCGTCCTCATGGCATTCTCGCATGTCAAGTGAGGCTCGCGGGACATATACGGCATTGCCAGCATGGGGAAGACAAATTTAACCATAGCATCAGCCACTGAGAGTGCCAGGGATGCCATAGCTCCAGTGATCGCCCATCCATCAACATACTCGATGTTATGCCCTGTTGGGTACGCCCTGGGTCGTTCGCACGGAGGCGGGTTTGCTATGGGAACCCGGCAAATGTTACACGCAGGACAGCACAACAATGGCACAACCCGCGCAAATCAACGTCCAAAAGATTGTCCAAATTAACATAGTGTTTAACCATTAAATGGTGGGCCTGAAAGTACTAAAGTAACCAAATACAAGAAATCCTAAACAATCCCAAAAGCTTCCCCTAAGGTTGCTTCCCAACAGCAACATGTGGTGACTATAATTAGTATTAAATGGCCTTGAGTCTAAAAGTCACAACACTCGATGATCGCCATCAACAAAACCTGGAGTACAATCTGAGGAAGATCTTCTAACATGCCTGCCATAAAAGTAATATTGGAGCAATTTTGTGTGGAAAGCCTTGAAGTTTGCACGGGTAGGTGCAGACCTGGAGCACCATTGAGCCCGATGCTGATTTTTCCATCGACTGCAGCAAGACTAGAGAGCCCACCAAAGTCTTCAAAAGCACTATTTTGATCAATCCATATATTGCCTGCCACTCTTTCAAGCTCCTCAAGGTTAGTCCATTGACAAGCAATCCATTGCTGATGAGCTGAATGCTACCCAAAGACAATATCCAAAGACAAGGCTAGTCCATTGACAAGCAATCAATTGCTGATGAGCTGAATGCTACCCAAAGACAATATCCAAAGACAAAACTGAAGTGTTCTTCAAGGCAATGGATGGCAACGCCACTCCATCCACAATGGCTACATGTGGTTGAAGGGAGTCCAGCCCAATGCTAGAGAAATAGATCGACCAACTTTCGCATCCAAGGCTGAACTGCATTGGGCTGGATAACTTTCCAAGAACAACTCAACTAGTCAATTTTACACCAGATTCAGATTCCTTGGTTGATTTCCGATGGACGTGGATCCCCATTACAAGCAAACAGCACCATGCATCAAGAAATCCAAAGCATTTGAAAAGCATCCCTATCCGCTGTTGCACGTTCCTTGAGCTCCCAACATCTGCCTTTTTTGCATCTATGGTATCTTTGTCTTGGTTTCACAAGTGGTATGTTGAGAAGCTCTTTCTAGCAATCAAGTGGAATTTATGGTGATGTCCGCTTGGTATCTATTGGTGGTACTTGCTGCTTTTTCTGTGGCCATATCTTTGGACACACGCCAGATTCCAACGTTCCCATCGAATTGTCGGGCTGAATTCAGCCTAGCATTTGCCACAATAGACGCTGCTGCTGAAATGTGGCTGTGGCGTTGGATAGTGGAGGCACAATCCAGTACTTCCTCGGGGAAATAGCGTGCATACTCACTGTCCACCATCAAATAAAACTAAGTTTCATCCACATGGCCTGAATTCAGCATAGAATCGTACACCATCCTTCTCTCGTTGGCCTTGTTGACTACAAACACCAATCTGGCCCACATCTGCTTGGAATTTGGCGGCGATTTGATCCACTGCCGTTTGCACGCTGTCCCCAGCGTTTTAAGCCACCTACAAACCGAAGCTTTACTTACGTCAACGTCGGAATTCTCAATTTCGAGAGTAATCTGCGATTCCCCTTGTTTGCCTCTACCAATCCTGTACCATGTTTCCTTGCTCGGCGTCAGGAGGAAGGCCGTCCTGACCTTGTCTCATCTCCAAGATGGATGCTATCGCACCAATCCAGCTGTTCCAATGCTCTCGGCCACCACCTCTTCACGCTCTTCATTGACACTCCTAATTGTGTTGCGATCTCTGGTGCCTTGCCATACGGAATGCGATTGCTAGAGGCGTCCATTGCAAGCCCGCACCTGATGACCAAGGCATGGCGCTCTCCTAGCGGCAGCTCAGCCGATTCTACCTTTCTCAATGGGCAAGAAGAGCTCGCCATGGCAGCGGCAAGCTGCTTGCAACGTTCAAAGCCCCGCTCAGGCGCGTCGGAATAATAGCTCGACAACCATTGGGCTGCTTGTGACGTTCGAGATGGCTATGGGTATCTCTCAGAAATGTTTGGGTTTATTCTTTCTGGCTCACAGGCTCTGACCGTCGCTTCGTGAAATGGTCCTCCCCGAATTTGGACAATATTTTTGGGAATAACGTATAATGTATTTCCCGTTCTCCCATAAGCAGGTCTGATTGGGCGTTTGAAAGGCAGTAGTTCCATCATCAAGACAAATGCACACGGCATCAAGTGCGCAATCAGCGCACAGTGCTTGAGCACCCCCTGCTCCCCACAGCCTCCACAGCACCAGCCATCCAACCAACCAACTCCAAGTTGCTTGTCCCATGGGGTTCATGGTATCATGCAGCCACTTGCACATGTGGCAACAAACAACTTGAGGACAGTCAGCTGCTGAGATGCCAAACCGATGGGGGCTTGCCTCCTTCATAAGTATACCCTTATATGCAGTTCGGTATGTAATAGCGTTTCTGGGTGCCAACGTTTTTGAAAAAGGTGATCAATTACGGCAGGCTGTTCATCGCATCCTCCATTGGCAGTTCCATCCTAAAATCGCCACTGGATTGACAGATATGGTGGGCCCAATTGTGAGATTCCCGACAACGCAAAATGGTGCGAGCATTGACTGAAGCTGTGTGACGCCAGGGGCGTGGCAAATTTTCTGCACCAAAGTACGGCATCTGCGCCAACTTTCAAGTGAATCTGTGAAGGCGTGCTACTTGTGATATTAAAGATGCTACACAGCACGATTGATGCTAATTTTCCAACAAGAAAATGTGATGCTGCCGAATTTCTGGACAAGTTGCCGACTTTCCAATCGCCCGAAATGGAATACGTTGGAGAAATGATACGCGCAAGGCATCACACAACTTCCTATGATCCACATGAGCTTTCCTAAGGACTGAGGGCACCCAAAAGTTAAATATCAATATAAACAAACATAACTATTAACCCGGCCCCTTACTGGAATTATATTTCGCGTGACTCAACCACAGTACTGCCTAAAGCACTGCGGCCGGGCGTTCGCGCCTCTGGGCCGACCCAAACCCGTGGGAAATAGCGACGCGCGAGTGCCTGGCCGCGCCCTCGCGGGTGAGGGGCTGCGGCGGCAAGCCGAGGACTTTGTCACGCGGGATTGAGCTGGGACGCCTTGCGGCGATCAAAACGCACGCGGACGCGGAGCGGCGTGCTGGAGCTTCGGCGGGGCTGGCATTTTGCTAGTCGGCCCGTTCGGTACGGTCCCAGAAGCGTATAACGGCAGGGTAGGCTGTGGCCGCACAGCCGCCTGTTTCAGTCGCGCCCAGTGTGTCCCACAGCCGCTACTCAGCAGTGGCTTGGGCTAGCACGCGACAAGCTGTGGTTGCTCCGATTGGCCAGCTCTGGAAAAGATGGTGAAGAAGATCGGCGAGCGCCTCAGCTCGAGTCGCTGGACCTGCCGGTGGTTCTCAGGTTTGACTTATGCGAACCAGGTTTAGTGGCCCATTTGCTGCAGAAGAGTAGGCTGTGGCCGGACAGCTGCTTGCTTCAGTCGCGCCCAGTGTGTTCCAGGGCCGCTAGGCGCCAATGATTTGGGCTAGCACGCGACAAGCTGTGGCTTCTCCGATCGAGTCGCTGGACCTGCCGGGACCG